CTATAACTCTCTCTTAACTGGCCATTTATTGAGCTTGCATGGTCTGACTCTCCCAACAGCTTTTTAGTTTAGTTTTTTCTTTGTACACACAGTCTTCCAATTAGGACTGTATGTCAGTGTAAAGGGTTGTTATCCATCAGGGTGGGCAAAGACTTTTCAATTCCGCCTTTATACTCTGCAGAACTTCTTCAGAGTAAATAACAGAAATTATATTACCCTGCATCCAATGTATTTTAACTCATTGTTAGTCACACATTGGAGCCTTTCTAGATAATATAACTGTCATCTAATCACTATAATTTTGCCTAGAAGCGGCTAACTTTGGAGGTTTAGTCCGTTGCAGAGGTCTTCACAAAGGCTTACTTGTAGTTCAACTGTTCCAGTGATACATTATAACAATGACAACACTCAAAAAATGGCATTTGGCAGTGTAGATATCCTTCAAATTTGGTTGTTAAATAATGTTTACCCAGATATATACAGACTGGGATATTTTTAGTTTAAAATAAAGTCCCTACTGTCCAAGTCTTATTATGGTGATACTTTGTAAATACTGTATTTTCTTGTTAGCTATTGGCCTACGATCTGCCGATACTGAAAGACCTTTAGTGACAGAGAAAAGAAACCGCACTCTCGCCCATAGATACAGTATATCTACTGTATACATTTGTGTTGATATGTGTGTGACTAACCTGCTTTGTCTCAGGTAAAAGAGCCAACGAGCGTTAACATAAAACAAGAGCAGACCTAATATCTGAACACTGCGAGGGAGGCCAGCAGGTCTGGTTTGTATTCAGCCCACCTCCAGGTTATCTTGGGAGACAGGTAGACCACTTGCAGTCAGAAGTGCTCCACTGCTGATAGCATTTTAAATCACTTAACCATAGCAGCCCTCTTTCATGCTTTCCTTGTCAGGAATGCGTGACAGTTTGAAAAACTGATAAACTCCACACTGACCTGTCTTTTGACTATGTTGATTGTTTTTTTTTTCTGATTTGATATGGATAGGAAAGTCCCTTGCCCATTGTAGGATGAAGTTATTAATTAAAAATGAGCTTAGTGTGGTTCTTCACCTGGAGATGATTTCTATGTTTCATTGCTGTGTGTGTATGTGTGTAAGATTGAAGAGAGAACCCAGGGATACAGTTGCTACACTAGGATAGTTGTCTAATTTATTAGGTGACCTTGGTTTCTTCAAGTGTGCCTTGCCACTAGTTATCTTCTTCTCTATTTATTAGAAGAGACAGTACTGCAACTTGCATATGGTCTTCAGAACAGGGAATGAGGGACATACATTAACATGAAGTACAGTCTGCACTAAAGGTACTGTACAACTATTACTAGCATAAAAAACCCAAATCTTTGAGAAGATAATGACTAGTAAAGCTAACTGGTAAACAGTCTTGGCAATGGCTGCTCAATAAAGCTTTAGATGTGCTCAGATCAACGTAGAAGCCGTGGTGGCCCAAAAGTACAGAGAATAGAGCTTATGACTGAGAGGTAGCTGATTTGATCCGCTTCCAGGCTGGAGAAATCTGGCAGGAAAGCGAAAGAGCAGCATGTGTCCCTGTCTCAGTACGACAGCTGAGGTTTCCTGGTGGAGGACACTTAACCAACAACAGATAAGACTGGCCAACAAATAGAACTGAGGTGGTTTTGAGCAGCTTGTAGGAATTAAACAATAATTAAGATAGATAGATAGATAGATAGATAGATAGATAGATAGATAGATAGATAGAATTGTAATTAATAAACCTGCAGTACGACCAAACTCTTAATACAGATTTCTCCATGTACTGCATCTGCTTTGTTTTTATTCATAAATGCATGAACAGAGAACGCTGTCAAAATTTTGTATGCAAAGTGAAGGTTTTGTGTGGGTACAGTAGCAGTACATGTTGTTTGTGCTGTTGGTACAGTACATTGATTTACAGAGATACCGTTGGCTGAAAATATTGTTGGTGATGTGGCCCATGAGCCACAGTTTTGGCTTATAAGTGCCATGTGCGTCACATACGCAAGCTTTTCTGTCCGACCTGGTGTATTTATGTCAGATACTATGAGGTCTATAATAGTTCCAGGGCTAATGATTGGTCCTCAGAGGCAGGTGGGTTTAAGTGGTTTTGAGGAGTCAGTGATGAAGCGGTCCTGTCAGGGAAGAAGCATGCAAACAACAAATTGGATTAGCTTATATATTGTATTACATTAGAGCATTGTACAAATACAGCTTTGCACTCATTTTGTATGGCAAAACACTCTTGCACTGATCTCTATGAGCTAAAAATTTCAACTATGTTGCATACTTACCTTTTTTTGTCTTCTTCTACTACTTCTATATTGAGGACACAGACATATTTTAGTCTTCACAGATCCATTATGTTAGCATTTTTAGAAGCCATTGAAAAACAACACGTCATTGTCTCTAATGTACGATAGCCATAAATGTGATGTCTAAGGTGCCCCTTTTAAAAACCTGGGACCAATTCCCATTATGTGTACCCGTCCACTAAAAGTTGATGAAGCGTGTAGTGTAATGTTGTGTATTTCAAATTGCTATTGACCCACACCAGCACTCAACATAGATTATATCTGAATATGGAATTGTTTGTGTAATGCATGTGTAAATGTGTACATAATCAACAGGACCTCAAACCCTTAATGACAGAAAATCCAATAAAGATGTCAAAGCAAAGCAATGCTAGAGACCCACAACAGTGAACGCTTACATTCAAAACACTGTCAAAGCCAACAAAAAACATATGACAAAAAACATATTGAAGATTGCTACTTGTACATGCTACTAGTTATTAAGATTTGTGCATGTTGTGGTGTGGTGAGAAATTATCATTGAATGTAATTTTCATTTTAAATGATAACACAAGATCCTCAACATTGTCTTTGCATCAGTGGTCTAAAAAGACTCCTCTCAGTCTCGCAGTTACAAGAGCAGGGTGAAGTGAAGTTCCCTATAAAGAATTGATTTTCAATGTATGGTCTTCTTTTACTGCTCACTATTTGAAATGGTGAAAGGGTGATGCAAGTACAGCAGCCAATGTGTATTAGGTTTGCATTCAATACTGCATAGGCAAAAGTTTTATTCAGCATGAAACCTTTAGGCCTTTCCTTTGCTTTCATGCTTATACAATATTTCAGTTTCTCAAAAACTAAGGGCAAGTGCAGTACAACTGACCTAAAGTCAGTGCCAACATAAAATGCATACTAACATCAGAAGCCAGGCACCTTCGTGGGCAGATGTGTCAAAAGGGTTAACATAAATATTCTTCACAATATCAACTTAGATATGTGCTTGTCTGGCATTATCTACAATACAAGTATCTTGTCTTAACATATTTTGTTCTTGGCTGCAGGACATAGGCACATGACTAACATGTGCAAAGCCGTAATGGCTAATTCTGTTTCGTTGATAAGTGGCATGGTTTATTCTTCCTGTACGTTGTCATGTGGAAACCTACTGAAGAAGTATGATGAGGTCGGTGAAGACATTTTTTTATGATGAAACTTTCAGATGGTTTCCTCAGTGTTTGCACTTGAAATAAGATATTGACAGGGGAGATCAATTTTTACTGTGTTTGCTGCTGTCTTCAAAGTGGAGGGAAGTAAGCGCCTGGGCAGTCAAATTTGTTAAGAGAAAAATGTGAAGGGTAAAAACAAGGCTTATTTTGTTATGGAGAAGTAGCCGGTGACTCGTGGAGGCATATGAGAGCAGTCTTTTTGATGATTTTTATCTAAAGGGAGTCTTCCTTTAATGTTATAAATTATACATTTTCACCACCACTTTTCAAGCATTTCCCACTCCTCTCCAGTTGTGTCTTCTATATTGGTTGTTATATGACCCAATCATTTTACCAGGTTGGAGAATTATCCAACCTTACAATGAATAGCAATTGTAATAATGTATTTACATTCATAATGAAGAGGAACACATTATCTGTGTATGGGCATTTGCATGCCAATGGTGTATATGTGTCTGGGGGCTTGATTTTGACTTCATTTAGGCTTGGCAGCACATCGTGCCATTGGACTTGTTTTATTTAATCAGATTGCCTGCCAACATTATTAATAACTGTGGAAGAAAGAGGGTAAAGGAGAAAATGAGGGATAGAGGAGGGAAAGGTGCTGACAGAGACCTGTATAATAAGCTTTTGTACAGTACGTTGGACATCTGTCTTCCTCTCTGTTTCTCTCTCCCTCCACCTGTCTGTCAATCACAGTGTTTCTTCACTCTCAGGAACCTTAATTTGCACATCTACATTTGAGTTACATGATACATGTATAATACAATAAAATACTCTTCAGTTTCAGCACAGGTAAATCTTTTTACAGTGTCTTTTTATTTTTCTTTGGGTGGATTTTGATACTTTAATACATATAAACAGAAAGTAAATTGCAAATGGTCTCTGCCTTGTTAATGGCACCGCAACCTTGAATTAAGAAAAAGCATTAAGGCTTGAGTGAAGACTGCAGACAATTTAAGCTGTAGAAGACCCATGTCCACTCATTGATATTCAGAGGCTCTATGAGTGAGAGCTGTAAACAACCAGAAAGCTCTGGAATTGGCACTCAAGGCGTGTTGCGGGTCACACACAGTCTCTGCTTTCTTAACAATGCTAGACATTCACATGTATTCAAACTGTTAGAACACCCTCGCACACACACACACACACACACACACACACACACACACACACACACACACACACACACACACACACACACACACACACACACAGCTATAGCCCCCACCACACTCACTCACTCCCTCTCTCTCTCACTCCCTTGCTCTTCTTTCCTCCCCCTCTCCGGGTCTGCACCACATCAGCAGCAGCTGGAGAGTGCAGCATAGCATTTCAGAGCAGAGCTGAGGAGGGCAGGGCAGGCAGCGTGGCCCTGTGTGGGCCATCCAGTGGAGAGAGGGAATCTGCCCGCTAACATTGAGCATTTTCTCTCTATCTCTCTCTCTCTATCTCCCTCTTCTCTAGAGCTGCAAGCTGAGAAACAGCCAAGCTCCTCCTCCCCTGCCACTCAGGAACTGATGACAAGGCTGGGCTTTTTACTAGGAGAAGGGATCCCGGGTACGGCTCGCATACCTATGGACGACAAGAATGAAAAGAAGGTATTTCATTTTCTCCCTCCCCTCCAACTCCCTCCCTCTTCCAACAACAGCTGCTGCCACTGCTGCAGCACTCAGATAGAGAGATAGAGGAGAGAGTGAAAGGATGAGAAGAGGAGGGAGTTGTGACAGTGTAACAGAAGAATGGATTTTTTCCCCTGTGCATTATCTTTGGATGGGGATTTAGGAGGCACCTCTGGGAATTATTTTTTTGGCACAACAAACAACGGTAACTGTCAAACTGTTTTGCGATGTTAAAGATGTTCTAAAGAAAGTAACTGCATATTTAAAATTGGTGATTTTATTTCAGTACAAGCTCTCCAGTGTAGTTTATAAGTCTCCCAGTAACTTGAGTGCTATTCCAGGGGCTCTTGAGTATGTAACAAGAGTGTCTGAGGCCGGGTCCAGAAATAGAGTTATGTTAGGTCTGAGCCTCAGTTTGTTTGGCTCTACTAATTAAGCTGGGGCTGTGTAAAGAACCAAGCAAAGCCCAGCATGCTACGCTTCCCTTATTCATCTCGTGTCTCTGACACATTTTGACACTGAACCAGCAATTCTAGGAAAGTGAAAGAGACTTACAAAGTATTTTGTGAGACATCTCATTAGTTGAGATGTCAAAAAAAGAGACAGAGTATGGGAGTGTAATGGTTTTTACTTTGTCTTTGTTTGTGTGCATGTTAAATATATGTTTTCAGAGCCCAGCAAGGGAATCTGCATCTGGCATCTGCCAGTGATTCTTTTTTCCTTCAACTGCTGTTTTACAGGATGTTTGTAACTTAGCATGCTGTTTTCAGTTCTGCCTTACAGTAAATTATTAAATGTCTGTAAGCTTTCTGGCTCTTACTGTGATTTGGTAGGTGGCATAAGCTCTGGACTGCAGCCTTAGGCTGGAAATTGCCTGGCAAAAGCAGGCTGTCGCAAAAAACAGGTGAAGCTTAGAAATGTTATGTAGTTAATATTAGTATTCTACAAGTTGTTAATGATGCTTTCAGCCATGCAGAATCCCTCCTGTTCCCCTGTTCGTATTCTTTCAGCATGCCACTGTACAAACATGTAGACAGTCAGTACATCTTGAATGAGAGGTTAGTCCCACTTCTGTCTCAAATTGGCTAAACACTGGTGAGTCATACTGTTCTCTGAAATGGGTTGAGTAAGAATGTTTTTTTTTTTTTACGGCAGAACCCCCCATACACCTTTTCTGTTATTTTAAAATACTGCAGTAATGTTTTTTGCAGGACAGATTTCTGTTGTTTGACAAACTCACTGATAATCCCTATATACATATGTACAGTATGTATATAGCTGTTCCAGTTGGATTTTAGTCCAGTAACATTATGCACCTTGTAAAAGAGGCTTAGAAACAGGTTAGGGATGTGTGAGGACAGGTATTACATTAGAAATGGTTTGTGATGGTTTGCTGAGATTTTAACTGGATGAGTTTGTTTGAGACAATACACAGCCTGTAATAGGTGCTGCTTGAGAAGCCCACTGTGGGAGAAAGTCCCTCAGGCAATAAAATATCTGCAGCGAAGTTGGTATATTGAGGATGAGGGTTGATTTAATTTGACCTGGGCTTGCAACATTTTGGTTTAGTGCCCTTTTGTCTGCAAAGTTAGCATTGTGCCTGCTAAAGGAATTGCCTCTTGGTGAAAAGTAAAGCTTGTTTAATCATAAGGGAGGAGTTGGTTCAATACTCACTGAGTGACAGTCATGCTCAATCTCTGTGGTGTGGAACTGTTTGAAGGCTTTGGTTCTTTTTAGAGTTGGACAAGGATGACCTCCTTGAGCTACAGTATATTGTGTGCAATCAGAATACAGTTGAAGGAAGATGGGTAAACAGGAAAACCAGCTTTATTTCAGATTTCTACGGTTGTCAGTTAGCTCAAACAAAGATTCAGCTGCTGTATGGTTGTCAGACAGGCTTGATGGCATGAGAAAGGTATCTATTGTGCCTCAACAAAGTAGAGACTTCTTCCCTTGTGAAATTCTCTTCAGGCTTATTTTAGTTCCTCCAGACATATGAGTGTGTAATTTTCAAGCCTTTCTCCATTTACAGCACTCATGCCCTTCGGCTTTTGTTTCATGCTCACATGTGAAAGGCTTGCTTATTTGTGAGTTTTTTTTCTTTTCTTTCACATTATACAGGTTAAATAGGCAATGAACTTTGATCAAATCATTCTTTACAGTTCTAAATTCTCCTTCCAAATAAGGTTGGAACATTATTTTTTTGTTGTATTTATTGCTGCTCATGCTTGAAAAATGTGAAGCTGTTGCCAGCTGACAGTTTATATTGAGGTGACTTCATACTTAATTTTCTCCATCTCCCTTTCTCCTCAGTGCTCTGTGACTAGCCAGGGTATCAGTCCCTGCTCTACACTGACCAGCAGCACGGCATCTCCCAGCACTGACAGCCCATGTTCCACGCTCAACAGCACGACCAGTCGACCCCCTCTTGGCCGCTCTAGCCCCTGTGGAACCATCACAAGCCCCAGCTCCACATTAGAGAGCAAGGACAGCGGTATCATAGGTGAGAAAAAGCCAACTTCTTCATCGTACCCAAATAGCAACTTGTATGGTGCAGGAAAATCTTGTGAGACTTGGATCACCTATGTCTTTACTTAAAGGTACCCCGTGGAGCTTTTTACAAAGTATAGAGCAACATTCTTACAATCACTGCCCTGCTTTGTTTGTTTCCTGTACATGGTTGATGCAAGAAGCATTCTTGCCTCAGGTTTGACACTGTGGGCTGCGTTAATGTCCAAATTAGTTTAACAGTGGGCCAAAAAGGCAGCAACATGGACTGCTAGTTAGCAAACATGGATTAAAACAATATGGCATTTATTTATTTGTAAAAATCCGCTTAGCAGATGTTTTATGAGGAAGTAGATGCGTTCAATGCCTTTGTGAGTTACACTGAATCTAAATATAACTTTGAAAACAAGAAAACTGTGCAAGGCACCTGCTTAAAGCTAGCCATATGTAGGCCAGAGGTGGAAATGTTTTAGCTTTGTACTGTATATATTTAATTTGACATTCATATCTGAACCCACATACCAACCAGCTTCAAACTGACTTCACTGCAGTTTAAAACCTCCTGTGCAGTCTTTGCCAAAATGCTCAGTAACCACGCTAGGAATGCCAGTGACGAGCCAAGTCAGCTGCAGATCCAGTGGGAAACCAGGCACAGTGAATCAATAGCTTAGTTGGTAGCGTTTGTAGCCCACCTCAGAGTAATCAAAAAAATGCCAACTTACCAGTGGCAGAATCAGTTCTGAAGCAGAACATAGGTCATGAAAAAGGCTCAGTTGACCTCTTTTTCTTTTTGGCATTTATCATTCCCAATACAGCTCAGCACAGATTCCCCCAGCACACACGTACTTACTTACTTGCTGTATTATCACTTATTACAGTATTTCCCATGAATCTCTTATCTTTCTAATTTGCAATCTGGGAATTGAAGTTACCTCATGTGCACATGTGCTGCAGTGAAAGAGTCTCACCTGCGTGGTGTCACTCGTTCATCATTTTGTTAAACCACTTGGATTTTTCCTGGGTCTGAATAGCATTTGTGTCAGGTTGCATTCATCTTCTATCATGTGTCACTTATTGGGTTTGTATAGAGCTGTTCCGGTATGAGAGAGCATTGAGGTGACAGTTGTCACAGTTTGACGTTGTATTATATCTCTAGTAATAGCCCTGTAAGACATCTGGGGATTTGCACAAGCTGACAGGAATATGACGTAGTCTATTGATATATTAATCCCTGTGCTGTGTCTACTCACAAAGCTTTCACTGGCTGTACAGAAATTAGAAATCAATTCTGAAAATGGGTTTTGAATATTTGTGGTGAGGAATCAATAGAAAATTGTAACCGTATGAGCATGCAGTTATCCTTGGTTGAACTTTAATAATTTCTGAAGGCACTGGTAGATTTGAGGGGTAAAATTTGCTGCTGGGAATAAGATTTAACTTTTTCTTTATCCCTCTATGAAGTAGGATATCAAACATGTTATGCCTTTTTAGATATCTGATTGATATAATTGTTTTGCAGTGGAAAGCAATGTGTGGCAAAGCCAGTTATAACACAACAATTTGGATTTCCAGTACTGCAGAGTTGACATAACAGATTATCATGAGTCAGTCATTCTGTCCCCCAGAGCAATATCATAGCTAGCTGGTAAATAATTTATGGAAACTGTGATATAGTATCTTCCACCATAGAGCATCAACATGCTGACACCCAGGATGAGACATCACACTGTACTACCTTCCTTGTGTCAAACCCAGATTTATTATGTGAGAGAATGACACAATCTGACATTGGTCCATAACGTCCCACCCACTCGTCTTGATAAGATTGTGTAGGCATGGAAAAGAACAAAGCTATGTTGTGTCCACAAGTCAGATTCCAGCCTGTGATTAATGTCCCCTGTTCTTTGAAGTTTTGACACTGACTCTGATTTCAAAAGCACATTAATTTGGCTTTGTACTGTGTTAGAAGCTCCTTGGTGGAATTGGGGAGACTTTGCAATGTCTTAACATTTCCATACAGCTCCCAGAGGAGTTTCTGCATGGGGTCCTTTGAAAAGGCCCTTCAGACTTACCATAGATTTGAATAAATTAAGAAATAAATAAATACAATTGATATAACTGATTACACAGTATTTTGCCAGGGACCACAGTTCAACCAAGTAAGCAATCAATGTAACCTCTACAATGTGATGATTCCTAATGCCATGCTCAAAGCAGGACTAGGCCTGACTGGGGTCATGAATAACTCCATATTTGCCCAGGTAAACAGCACAGGAGTCACCCCTATGTGTTTTGTTAGTGTTAGTGATGATCCAACGTTCTACGGCATTATGAAATCCAGATTAGCAGTGTGTGATGCAAACAGAGCCAGCTGGTCAGTCAGTTCCAGTCCTCTGACTGTACTGATGTGTCTGTATCCAGCTGCCTGTCATTGTGTTCCTTTGGCCCTCCACTCATTTGTTTGGATCATATTAGATGGCTGTGTTAGCCTGAGGGAGGATTAAAGGATTTGTCCTCATTTTAGCAAAACACCTGTCTGAACTCAAAAACACCAAAGGCATGTTTTAATGCTGGTTCTTTACTTTTGATTTTTTTGAGATTTTTAAGTATGATTTTTTCTTTCATGCACAGAAGCTAGTCGCTGTTTACGCTGTATAATATTACGGGTAATGAAAAGTAATTCAAAGAAAATAATTTCCACACATCTGTGCCATCGTGTCAAGTTTTCATTAGTGTACGCAAGCTGTCTGTCTAAATATAAAATCAGGTGGTGAACACTGTTGATAAGGGGGATGAGGAAAAGCAAGCAATCATTCAGACTTCCATTACAGCTCAGGATCACACTTGAGCTGAAGACAGATAAATGTTCAGAGCACACAAAGCACATAATTCTCAAGTTTCTTGTCTCCTTCCATCATCTTACCTCCCTCACTTGCTCTATTTCCCTCTCTGTTTTCATCTCCTCACAGCCACCATCACTAGTTCTTCGGAGAATGATGACCGCAGTGGCTCCAGCCTGGAGTGGAGTAAGGATGGCAGCCTGAGGGGCAGCGGGCGCCATGGCCTGGCACAGAGTGTGCGGGCTGACACCTGCTCTCCTGTGGCTGAAGAAGACTCCAACAGTGCCACAGCAACACCAGCCGACACCCCATCCAGGACAGACCATCAGCAGCAGCAGTCAGCAGGGGCACCACAACCTCCAAGTCACTCACCTGAGGGACCCCTTTCATACCCATCACAGACATCTTCTTCCCTCATGATGCCGAGACCGAACTCTGTAGCAGGTAAGAGCCCTTTTGTTTTGAGCTCTGCACATCTGGATGTCTTCCGTGCAGAGGAGGAAAAGGAATGTATCTGTATACCTTACCTCAGTGAGTGTGTGCGTTCATTTAGCATTACATGTAACATTTTACTGAAGCTTTATTCTTGTAACCTAGTAACCTTTTGTTTTGCTGACAGTAATATCTCACTGGGTGTCTCACTGCCTTGCATTGCCAGTCAGTGAGATCAAGATTGTGACATGCTATGATATGACCTGTGCCCGAGGCTGGTGTTGTGTCATTTGTAGTCCAAGCAAGTGACATACAGAGACAGGAAAAAGCACGTGTAGATTTAGAAGGAATAAGAAGGTATTGTTTTTCAGAAGCCAGGTTGTGCTTTTCAACGATGATTGGGGTATCAAGACAGAAGTTTGGGATTAGGCAGCTGTTGTATGTTGTACCTCGGCCCTGCTTGCCATGTCGGACCTAAGCGCAAGCCACTGTCTGGCTGATCTGTTCTGCATTCCTGCCCTGGTACCTCCCTGTTATGGCTCAGCTCGCCATATCCACACAGCTGTCACAGTTGTTGATATCCCTTGCCCCCTTTTCCTTCTCTCTCTTTCCCCCCTTTTCCATTCCCAGATCTCCCTTTCACTGCCTCCGTCTGTTTTTGCTGTTGCTGCTTTTGACCTTGGCCCTGTTGTTGTAACACACACAGCTATACAGTTTTAAATCTTACTTTTAAACTTTAAGTCCAAAGCTGAGTTGAGAAAGAACAGCACTGAATGCCATGGTTGAACTAGTATTTGATAACTGTTATTTTCAGGTGTGGTAGGATCTCCACCAAGGACAACTGTTGCATTTGATTGTGGAAGTGAACTGTGAAATCAACAGCAATGTAGTCTGCAACTCTACTTACAATCACATGTTGTTTACCTTATTCTATGCTCATTGGAACATGTTGCAAATGCTTTCTGTTAGGCTGACAAAATGCTAGCAATAACAGCAATATAAACAAAAAGGATGTTTGCTTGTTATAGCAGTTGCAGACGAAAGCGGGAGTTGTATGGTAAAAAAGCACTCTTCAAGGGAGGGTGAAGGCTGTTCAGAGGTGAGGGTAACCATTTGTAAAGCAGACTGTATATTGCACTCTATTGAACAAGGAGACGATTCCATTGGTGAGACGAAATCATAGGAAATTACAAAAGCAGTAGCAGGCTGGGCAGAACTGAAGAAAGAACCATAAAAACATAACTGGACTAAGGTCAGAGCAGTGGCCAAGACGGAGATGAGTCAAAGCTTTAAAAAAAAAAAACAACAACATGTAAGACTAATACAACAAATTAAAAACCAAAATATGACGAGTGAAAACTGTGTTTTACCTATTGCACCTGGATGCCACAGCTGCCCGTGTGTTGAAGTTCACTTGCTTTACTGCAAAATATGCCTCCCTTGAGTTTGACCTTGAGGAAAAGCAATAACTATTCACTCATGTTTACTACCACAGCATGTTCTTTCCCTTTGATGTTATGTATGTTAGATTCCCCTTTTGAATTGAATGTAAGGTCGACTTATTCTGTGTTCTCTTTAACTAATGCTAAGAGAGTAAGATGAAGTGGGTACAAGAGATAGAAGCAGAAGAAATAGTACATTGTTGCCTGTTCTGAGACATAGTATACATGCACAGCTTATGTATGTGTTTCACACAATGTGCACTGATTTTTTGCACTTTTTTCAGCCCACAGTTGAATCTGTGCTGACATTGTAAACATAAAGTGGTTCATGGCATTGTGCTGAACACGCCTGTTCAGTGGCCAATCTATTGTTCCATGAGTCCAAACCCTTTTATAGCTCATCATTATTTTGCCGCTGACATAAACCTGACCAGTACAGACACACACCGGCTCATAAAGCTAACAGACCAGGAAATATTTTACTGTTTATGTGTGTTGGTCTGCGTGTTAGCACCAGTGTGATCGTCTTCCTGTGTGCTCCAAGAGTTTATGGGCTGATGTCATAGTTATGCAGCCCTGTCCTCTAGGGACCTGCAGAATTCACACCTCAGATTTTATGCTGTGTGGCAAAGCCCTGGGACAGGACATCGAGGACATGGTGAGACAGCTTCATTTATGGCCCAAACCAATCTGCGTTGGTGTCAGTGTGTGCCAGGGACAGTGGGTCTTTTCAGTTGATGCTCAAGGAAATTATATTCAATAAAAAGTAGTGTTTCTAAAGAAGCAATTACTGAAGCAGGATGGAGCTACTATTGGAGGAGATACCATTGTGCAAAACAAACAAAAATGTATTCATCATAAGTGCATTCACTCTATGTGGCAGAACCTCTGTGAATATTTTTTTTCCTGTTGTATAGCTCTGTATGCCAGCACATTGGATAACAAGGTGTCTGCTGTGAATATGCCTTTACTTTATTGATTGACATTAAGTAAGAGCATGAATATCAAACATGCTCTCATTTTTTTTGCTTAAAAATACTGGTGCAAAACTTACAATAAAGCAGATAAATTATCCTATTTGCTTTAAAAGATGCTGTGGGTTGAAGAAAGTAAGTAACCAAAGTAGTTATAGTTCCATCATAAGATTGTGTCCACCACATTTCTCACTCATTTTTTCTAGACACACCGTTACCTAGCTACCTAATGATCTATGTGGCACTATGACATATCTCAAACAAAATATAGAGCCAGTATGTTGTCATTATTGGGTGTGAGTAAATATGTTTTTATTTGATACTCCTGGGATGAGAGTTAGCACCTCCAGGTCTGGTACCATGGCACTCTACTTGAAAACAGTGGATTGCTCCCTTTGGGTTGCGAGCAAGTCTCTCAGGGTCTTGACAGGTGAGAGTAAGATGGAGGATGAGTTCCACTGGTGGATTTTTGTGGCGCAGTCAGTGATGCAGACATACTGGGACTGCCATGGTGAAGAGGGAGCTAGGTATGAAGGCAAAGCTCTCTCTTTTACACTTGATTTACATTCCAACCAACACCTATGGCCACAAGCATAGTAGCAGCCAAAATCGTTCGAAGAGTTCACACAGCAACCAGGAACCTTAGCTTGGACACCTGAGAGTAGTTGCTCCTTGAAGCTGAAAAGAGCCCAGCTCATAACATGCTGAGAGGATTACATATCCCACCTGGTCTGAGAACACCTCAGGAGCTTCCCACCCAAGAGCTGGGGTGTGTGGCTGTGAAAAAGAAAGAGTGGGCAACTGTACTTCTCTTGACACATTGACTGTGCTATGTGGTGGAAAATGGAGGAATTGATGAATTTCCAGTTTTCATAGAAAACTATTTTCCACTGATGGTAGACAGGAATAAACCCTTAATGTTTTATTGTTACTTCATCTGGCAACCCAGAAATATAAAATGTACTTGCATTATTATTTCATCCATCTAAAAAAAAAAAAAAAAGTAAGAAATATTGAGGTAACTATAACAGACAGTTAAGAGAGGGAGTTCTATCACAAAGACCACATTTTCTTAGAGGCATGTATTTTGTCCATCTGTCTCATGCCAATCAACGGGTGTATAGCGGGGCCTCTAGAATGTTAGCTATGTATGTCGAAGGAATGTCCGCATATTGCCGAGAAGTGTCATTTGCACTGCCTTGGTGAACACACACCCGTACTGTGGCTTGCTTGTCCCTGGGCTGCTGTGGGAACTCAAGCAGCACTGTGTCGAGCCTGCATGTGCTGTGGCGAGTTGCACAAATGTTGGCCTGCACCACCTGTCACCGTTGACAGAGCTGAATTCAGATGCTTCTTCAGAAGCAGTTTGTAATTGCATCATTAGGCGGTTGCCTCTAAGGAACTATCTCGGCCAACATTCTTCATAGACAATATTTTCTCGCACATTGTGTAAGGCAGCATTAAAAAGCTGTCATGTAGGCAACCTCAACGGGCACCACAGACATTTATCATCCATTTAATATCAACATACCCTGTTTTAAAGGTCATAGCTGACCACATGTGAGGGCTGTGTGGGATACATACTTTAGAAAGCCCAAGAAATGGGATTGTCTTTTTTTTCTCCTGGCCTTCTTTGTGTTTTCAGAAAACCTATATGGGGGAAAAAAAATTCTCATGTCCTCACAGCACCCTTGATAATGCAGCCCTCTGTCTACAGCCCAGAATTAAAAGCTTGCTGAGACGGCTCTCAACAAAGAACCATTTTTTGCTAGGGATGTAATAGGCTATCTTAACAATGGTTCATTTTCATTGACAGTATCTGATTCAAGGACAATTCTTATTTCTTTTCTATACAGTTTTATACATCATGATTCAGTTCAATATCTATCTGTCAAATTGTGTAACCATCAAATAAATCTTTGATAATGCAGGTCAGACTAGGTAAAACATTTAAAACATTTCCCCCCAGATTATAGTATTACTAAATATTGGTGCTTTGCCGATTTGAGATTTACACCAATTTTGCAGGGAAGAATTTCACTGATAACAGATATGGTGGCCGATATGGTGATTTTTTGAACTGGAATGAAAATAGACCTGTTGTTTCTAGATTGTTCACTGATTACGCCCTGATATGACTATGCAAAGCAGAAGACTGCTTTCTTAGGTATTTTTATTGTTGTATATCACTCAGACTATTTCTTTGAAATGGTTTGTCAGTCAACAATTAAACAGATAATGACCATATATTTTTTATATGATAAAGATATCTTTGTGCTGGAAATGATTTCAGTGTGTTTTATGATGATAGCATGAACAATGTTGACCTCATGTTTTAGTCTGAGCAGTAGCATTAGGCAGCTAGGTAGTCAAAACATTAGTAACACAAACCTTTTGTCCACACTGACACAGACACTTCAGATTTTGCAACACCAGTAAAGGTTAATGCATTTTGCTTTGTAAAATGGTTAACAAAATTTCACTTAATATGTCTTCCGTCCTTTGCCACCCTCACTCTTCATTATACTTAGGTAATAAAAATTCTATTTTTGAGCCATTCGTGTTAGGCTTTTTAAAAAGGCTTACAGAGTCAAAG